CCCTAGTAGTGACTGAATGATAGAAGCTCAAACAGCTGAGAGTTAATTTGTAAGAAGAACACATGCAAAAAAACAGCAAAATATGGAGGGAAACTGCAGTGATGAAAACACAAATACTAGAATATTTAAGACTAAAACCATAAATACAGAATTATTTGGTTTAACTAAATGTTAGTTTATTTATTTAGACTTGGTTCTGTTAATGAAAATTAACCTGTAACTATGTGACTTACATCCAATATCGGATCAGGAGCAATATCCCAAAGGATTTTTTTTACACAGCTTTTATTTTCATTCAAGTACAGAGCAACAAAATTAACTCTGCATTTAACCCATCAGCTTGGTGAGCCGTGGGCTGCCATTGTGAGATGCCTCGGGAGCGATGTGGGGTTAAGGGTCTTTGCTGTGTGGCCTCTAGTTGTCACCATAGCATGCATGCAGACAGGGCTGGATGCCGGCTCTTAATTGTGTCCAGCTGAAGCCAATCAGCAGGGTTCTGTTGACTGACGCTAGACGGCAGCCGGCTCTCCATTTTGGAGTTGATTTTCCATGGGTGAGACACTTGTCTTCCCTCTTTGCCATGCTCTTCTCATTACCATGCTATGGCATCTAAGGAAAAATCATGGGTTTATTAACCTTACTGAACAAAAGCTCCTGCTGGCACTTTCTTCTGACAGGGTGAATGTAAGATTCGGCTGGTGTTCAGTAGTGTCATGCAGCCACAGTCATGGGAGGATGGATCAGCACATGCAGGTGGGTCACCCTGAGCTGTCTGGGTCTGAGAGGAAAGAGCTGATGCATTTTCTGGGAAGGGAAGCAACTACTGCCCATTTGAATGGACTGCAGAGGAGCAACCCTTTTCCCCGCTGTGGTGTGTACCTTTGGTCTGGAGGAAAGCACGGTTGGACTAGGAATCAGGTAGTATGGAAGTGGGTGAGGCTATGGGACCATAGAAATGGGTCAGAGTGCTGGCAGTTGCTGGACAACATAACCAGAATTTATGAGTGAGAATGCTCATTTTGTGTGTTGTTTTTTCTTCCGAAGTACCATGGTTCCATGGTACCTTTTCATTGGTGGCGTTCATACCTGTTGCATTAGAGCAAGCCATGTCCCCACGGTGTTTCAGCACCATGTTTACCAGTACATGGTATTCATGAAAAAAACTTTCTCAGTCCATATTTGTGAACATAATCTGTTCCATACAATGCAGTATGCAATGTGTTAAGAGGGACCTGATTTATCATCATCTGATGGTAAAGCAGGCCAAGGAAGACCGTGCCATCCAAAAGGAGAAGCTGGTCCAATGCGAACAGCTTTTCAAGGTCAAAATATCGATACTGTTGGAGGAGCTGACAAAAGAACCATCCTACCAGTTGAGGTCCCTTTTTTGGGTACTTTAGTGCATTCATCTCTTGCATATTTAACTACAGGCTTGGGGTCCTAAGAAGTCCTGGATTGGAAGCCAAAAAAGCTTCTACCTAATAAATGTGCGAAACAATAACATGAAAAATACTTTTGAGATTGCGCAGATCAACCTTAATGAAGATGAGTTCACTAGCTGGAGAAGTTGTTGGAGATCTGTGAGAGGGACTCCCCAAGCAGTGTCCTTTGTGTTCTGCCTTGGGAAAAAATCTACCTAAAATTACCTGGTCCGCTTCCTCCAGCAGGCATGGGTGGATATGGGCTCGGATGAAAAAGTGACCTTCACAACCATCCGGACCATCGTTGCTAACGGGGCCAAAGAGGCCCACTCATCTGATGTGCGAAGCCATTATGCAGCCTTCATTTGCCATGATATTGAAACAGTTTAAAGGTTTTGTGTACTGCACTAGAATTTTGCTCAGACAGCCCGGCTGAGACACCTTTTCGAGGGGTTTACATGTGGTGACAATATTTCCCCTGTGATTATGTCTGCTTAAAGCAGGGCATACATTGTACGAGTGTGGGCAAATTCTCCAGTCGTGCAAATTCTCAGTCATACAAGAATTTTTTTTGTTCCAGAGGTCCAGTTCAACTGGAAAGGAAGGTGAAATGGACCTCTGGAAAAAAAATAAAATAAAATTTAAAATGTTTAAAATAGTTTAGTTATTTATCCTAAATTTTTTTGAAGTGCAACACCATATCAGGGTCACAAAATTTGGTAAAACTGTTGCAAAAGATGTTCCCAGAGAGCCAGGACCACTTTGGCCCACGGCGGGATAGGTTAGATGTTTTTGGGTGAATTTCGGCCTAGAAGTGCTTACTTCCAGGGGCTGGCTCCCAGGGGCCATGCAAGGCCTCCTATCTGGCTAGGGTTAGCTGTGGTTTGGGAGGAAATCCGGCCCTTCCCCTGGCTTCCCTGAAGGTTGTTGTGGTTAACAGAAAAAGTATGAACATTCTGGACCCTAGTATGGTATTGGACGTTTTTTTTTTCAAAGTGTCAACACCATACCATATGTTCAAATTATTTGTGTGAACCCCATACCAAGGTCAAAGCTCTTCAAAATTGTGAATGTCGTACCAGGGTCCCGAATTTCATAAATTTTTCTAAGTCTCCTTGCTATACTAGGGGCCTGGACAGTCTGCAACGCGTGTTGCTTGGTTTAGTCCATGGGGGTTGTTTAAGAGGACCGGCTCGAGATGCTGGTTAATGGAGGAACCAGGGAGGGGGAGCTTGCCCCAAACAATGCTGAGGGAGGAGCCACTCTGCTCAGGCAGAGCCATGGAGAAGACAGCCCCCCCTGGAGGTCTGGATCAGGCGAGATTTAAGTCTGATTGACCGACCAGGAGGCACTCTGCTCAGGCAGAGCGCTCGCGAAGGCAGCAGCCTCCCCAAAGTTTATTGCCTCACCAGGCAAAGTTCAATACCTGGTGAGGCATTGAACTTTGGGGGTAGTCATGAGAGGCTAATTACCCCTCCTTACCCCCTGTATGCAACACAATGCAGGACGCACGATAAGGGGGAAATTCAGCTAAATCCAAAAAATTCCCGCACTACTGGGAATTTGCACGACTAGAGAATTTGCCCACATAGGGCAAAAACTCATACAGTGTATGCATGGCTTTAAGCACACATAATCACATGGCAAATAGTGTCAGAAAGACTTTGACTTTCAGCTTTATCTTATAAGAGGAGACGATGGCTTAAGGTGGGACAGATGCGGTACATGAGTTAAGTGGATTTCCGAGCAGTTCTTCCTGAAAACGCCCTAATATTCCTCAGTAAGTAGTGCTTTACTTCCTCTTTAGTGGTGTCTTCAAGGGCCAATCATGAGAAGGTTCACAGAAGAGGTATGGCTCCGCCCCACCTGTCAAAACACATTTTGCTTCGAATTAGGAGAATATCAGCCTGAGCACAAAGGCACTTTCGAGAGCGAGGCCATCTGGAAGGGGGATGATTATGACAGAAACTCGTGCTTGAGTAGAACATCGTAGCACACACCTGGTGAGGTCCCAAGTGTGCATGAGGAGTTAGTTCTACTTCCAAAGCTGCAGTTTCTAGCGCGTGTGGGATTTTTTCCATGATAGCTGATGGACTCATGCTCAAAAGTAGTTTAATATAAACTATATATTTATTTTGCTGTTGGAGGTTTTGACATAAATGTGATTCAATATATTTGTACTTGCGCTGCTTAGTGTCGCAGTGGGTTAAATTCCCAGTTCGGGGTCTTTCTGCATAAAGTTTGGGGCGACAGTGGCGTCGGATGTAGGAGTTTGCCCCGAAATCGAAGGATTGACGGTTCAAGCCTTTTAGTGTTGTTTTGTCCTTGGGCAAGACACTTCACCTGCATTGTCTACTGATGGTGGTCAGAGGTTCCGGTGGCGCCAGTGTACGGCAGTCCCGCTTCTGTCAGTGAGCCCCAGGGCAGCTGTGGCTACAATGTAGCTTGCCACCATCAGTGTGTGTGCGTGAATGGGTGAATAAATGTAGTGTAAAGCGCTTTGGTCAAGTCTCCTGACTTGAATAGAGGCGCTATATAAGTACAGACCATTTACCATTTACCCTTTACCAAAGTTTGCATGTTCTCCCTGTGCATGCGGTTCTCCAGCTTCCTCCCAGTCCAAAAACATGACTGTTAGGTTTATTGGTTTCTCTAAATTCTCCTTAGGTGTGAGTGTGTGTGTGAATG